CAAAGTTTTCCCCCCGTTTTTGTTTTGGGTTTTTTTCCTCCCCCCCCCCCCCCCCCCCACACACTTCGCCTCCCCATCTTTTTCCTCCCCCTTTAACAAAGTTGCAGAGCCCGTGCTCTCCCTCCGCTGCTGCCTGTGTTGCAATACTGAGACGTCGGGCTCGGCTCCTGGAATAACACCTTTCTTTTTTTCTTTCTTTCTTTTTTTGTTGTTGTTTTTGTTTTGTGTTTGTTTGGGGGGGTTTTTTGGTCTTCTCGCTGCCCCTCTCGCAGAGATTTTATCATCGGTTTATTTTTGTAAGGAAGAAAAACGATCAAAAAAAAAGTCGCTAAATAATATTTATTACTTGTTTGGTTGCAAAAAAAAAAAAGGAAAAAAAAAAAGAAACCACCACACGAGTGATCCACTGGTGAGATTTTAAAGAAGTAAAATAAATAAGACGTTTTAAGTAAGCCGCCTTTCCCCTCCCTTTGTGCTCGGGGCAGCCTTGACGGTGGGAGAAGGGCAGGAGGTGCGGGGGCGGCTTCTCGGGTCAGCAGTTTGCAAAGCTGCAGGGGAGATGGATGGGGAAGGGGATCAGGGCAGGCGGAGGGGATCACTTAGTTGCTTCTCTCTTCCGGGTTTTTTTTTGGGGGGGGGAGGGAGCGTTACTTTTGTTTTTGGTTCGAGAGCTTCCCCACCTCCGCCTGATGTCGCTTTCCCGTTTGGTATTTATGGGAGACATCGAAATAGCCAAGATGCAAAGGTTTGCGGGTCCCCTAAGCAAGCCAGCGGAGAGCAGAGACAGATGGAGGACTGGCGGTGAGGAAATATCGAGCTGGGTGGGGGGAGATGGGAGAACCAGGGTGCTGATGGGGGGATGCTGGGTTTGGGGCTCTGCAGTGTGGCCCCTCACTGGTTGCTCCGGGATCTCCCCCCCCCCCGGTGCATCAGGGCACAGGGGGGTTCATCTCTGTTGCCCCTTGGGGCTGCCGGGCGGCGCTGCCAACACTGCTCCCGTTTCCTCTCGTTCCCTGCCCACCGCGTTCAACTCCGTTGTGGAGGCAGTGGAGGGGGGCGCAGGACCGCCAGGACCATCCCGTGGGCGCAGCATCGGGCTTCCCCGCCGGGGGGCTCGTAGCAGCCGGGCGGCGTGGAGACGCCTCGGCGGTCCCTGTCCCCCCTTGCCCCTGCAGGACCCGATCCCGACAGCCCCGTGCCCCGCGTGCTTCTGCTGAGCAAGGGGATCGGGGCCTCCCTGGCAAGGGGGCACCCAGCCCCCGCCGGCCCCGTTATCCCTCTCCCCTGGGACTGGCAGGCGGCCGCCCGCGGGGCCAGCTGAGAAGCACGTGGCTGGGTTTGCCAGGGATCGGGATCGCGGGCTTCATTTCGCTGTGGCGGGCTTGATGGGCGGCTTGGGCCCCCGGAAGGGAAGCAATTGGGGGGATCTCAAGAGGCCCCCGCTGCGAGCCCGTCTCTTGCCTTGCCTTGTGTTTAAGCATCTCACTGATAAGGCTGATCTGAGCAGCGCCTGCCCGCACCTCCCGGCGGGGCCCTTGGACAAGGGGCAATCTCGGTGTGCCCCGTCGCGAAGCCCCAGGCCACCCCTGCGCCGCTCCCCTGCCAGCTGCAGGAGACGGGCACGGGGCTGTGGCCTTTCACAGCCGGCCGCGGGAGCCAGGCTCGCACCCCCGAGCCACTGCTGGCATCCTCCGTGGGAAAACCCCCACATCGGGGCGAAGCTGGTTGGATCCGCCCCCAAAAGGCGAGTGCTTGTCCCAGGATGGCCAGGGCAGCAGCTCCGGGCGCTTTTGAAGGTGCCGACACGCCACTGCACCCACATTTGAAAGTGTATCTCTCCGGGCTGATGCTACTAACATCTGGACTTAGCCATCAGCATCTGCCCGGCTACCAAAGGCACTGCCGCGTTGCAGAGCCCGAGGTTTAGCAGGATATAGCAAGAGGCCAAAGGGCCCCCTTCCCTTTCCTGGCACCTGGGCACGGCGAGGCATCAGAGCAGGGTCACTGCTGGCTACACCCAGGAGTTTTACAATTGCCTCCTCCCCAGCCTTTGAAAGTAGCCAGGCCCATTCTCTCTGCCCAAAGCAGCCACGTCGTCCCTTAGGGCCACTTGGCGGTGTCTTGCCACAGAACTCCCTCATCCCCAAACCCTGCATCCTCTCTACCTCCCTCCCTGCAGTTTGTGTCCAGGGAGGAGTGCGGGATCGGGCCCCAAGAACCTGCCGTTCCCGCACAGGTTCACAGCCGTCACTTCCAAGAGGCGAGAAAACATGACAGCGGGGTTATCCGGAGGGACCCAGGTTGTAATAGGCGATCGTGGAAAGTGTGCCCCCCGTAACAAGCCGCATTTTGCAGCTGTCCCGTTAGAGGCAGAGGGACGGGAGCGCTGCGCCTCTTCCACTGCCCCGGCTCCCGCGAGGGACACGGGCAGGTCCCCGGTGCCTCCAGGTTACAGAAATCATAGACAGGGTTGGAAGGGACCCCAGAGGGTCATCTAGTGCAACCCCCTGCCCATCCCCAACTAGATCAGCCCAGCCCAGCCCAGCCAGGGCTTTGTCTACCCGGGCCTTAACCGCCAGGGATGGAGACCCCACCGCCTCTCTAGGTAACCTGTTCCAGTGCTTCACCACCCTCCTAGAGAGAACGTTTTTCCTAGTATCCAACCTAAAACCTCCCCGGCTGCAACTTGAGACCAGCCCTGAATTAACCCATGATGCGTCTTGCATCGATCCCGGCAGCCTGATCCCAAGCCTAGCTCGTGCTCAGGGGACAGACACCACTTGGCCGGTCTCGCCCCATCTGCAGGAAGGGGCAAGGCTCAGATCTGCTTGCCCAATTCAGCTGCGAGATAGGGATGCCGCGGGAAGAGCAGGATCAGGGGAGAGCTGGCGGGCGCGGGTGAAGGGGGGTCATTAGGAGCTGGGCTTTGTCTACATTAAAGGCAATGATGATCAGCCTGATAGATGAAGGGATTCTGCAGAGATTGCGGCCACTAGACCTGTTGGCGGTAACCAGGCTTCAACCCGGAGGGGTCTAACAGGTGGAGCAGGGGAGGGGGCAGCAAACGGACAGCCCAGCCGGGTCCCCAGAACCCAAGATCCAGCAGTCTGAGGACCCTGTGGGCTGAGGACCGGCTGGTGATGGCACCTCGGTGATCTCGACCAACTCCGGTGATGGCATCTCGAGGCTGCAGAGGAGAGCGAGTTATAATAAAGTCGCTGCAAGGACCCCAATTCTTTCCTAGATTGACTCCCTTCAGACTCTCCCTGAAGGGTAGGAGACGGGGTAAGGCGTGCACCTTACAGACTAACCGAATCGGATCTCTGATTCAAGAGATCCTTCCGGGTGCATTTCTACCCTTTCCGCCTGCCTAACACGGCTAACTGCCGAACACGGCTAACTAGCTCTCAGTTAAGGGTGCCACACTTAGCATTAGCTGGCCCTGAGGCCCGGCCGCTCTTTCCCCGGCTTGCCCTGTGGTTAATGGTGTGATATACTCTCCGCCCCCCCATCTCTCTCCTCCGTGTTTGGGCAAGGGAATATTTATTAACCCGTGCTTTTCTAAGACAGAAAAATAGCTGAGTGGGAGTACAGTGATGGCTTAGAGGTCCAAAGGAGAGACCCGCTAGTTAGACACTGATTTGATTCGCCCTACCTACTTGTCCCTCGGCGGTCTATCAGGATCCAACAAGGGGGCAGACAGCATTCCTGCCAGTCAGCCCCTCCAGAATGCATTATGAGTTATATTTGTCAACTCCTTTTCTATAAGGTTTCCATTAAAAAGAATCAATGCCGTGGGCAAGATATTGGCAGGAGGACACTGCACACTGGAGCTGGCATGGCCTCTACCTGGGGCCTCGACCATCTACGGCCAATATTTCATAGAGGCAGGGCGCTGGCAGCTGTGGTTCCCCTGCTTTACCTGTGCCAGGCTGGGGTGTTAGGGCTGAGGGTAGTCTTTTGTTATGTCAAGTGCGGATGATGGGAGGTACAGCACAGTTTGGCTAGGGCTGACCCTGCCTCAGGCGGGGGTTGGACTAGATGCCCCCTGGAGCAACCTTCCAGTCTCTAACCCTAATTCCCCCACAAGAAATACCAGCAAAGTGCGGGGCTTTTTCCCCTTCGAAGAACCAGAAGCCCTCTCTAGGCAATGGCTGGGAGCGGAGGAGTCCCTCTCCCATCTGCAAAGGCTCTGGGGGGCCGGGATACCCGTGCAGGCGCCGAGGCCCCTGCCCCAGGGTCTTCACCGCTAGTGTTTCCCCAGGGGCACTGCCACCAGCCTGCCCCTCTGTGGCTGGGGGCCCGGGCTCTCCCCTCTCCCCCTTCCTTCCTCTCTAAAGCAATCAAAGGAGGTGCCTGTAGCCCCTAGACCCCGGACAGGGATGGGGGCA